GCAGTTCCCCAGTACACTTGTATCATTAGACAAGAGCGTAATAGTGAGTGCCCATCTGTTTTTGGCCATTCATTTTCTCCACAGACATTTCCATTCAAAATTTAGAAAACATGATTAAAATGAAATAAAACACAATAATATGTATACAGAGTTTATTTTAAAAATATGTAATAAAAATTATGATAATTTTGTCTTCCAGACTGTGTAAAAAAAATAAAAAAATAATAATAATAATAAAATAAATAAAAAATAAAATAATAAAAAATTAATAAATTAATAAATGTATATTATTAAATAATAATTAATGAGTGTGAATTCCGATCCAAAAAAGTTCAAATTTGGGAATATTTTCTTCTTTTGCTTCAGGATCTTTGATTCAGATACCATATCTGATTCATTTTGAATCAGAATATTTGATGTGAATGTAAAATTGAATCTGAGATTGTGAAATTCACATATTTCTTAAGTTTATTTAATAAATTTGTCCATTTTTAAACGTTAAGGCTTCTTAAATTCTTCAAAGCTTTCAAATAAGGCTTTGTCAAGTCCAAGTCCTGTCCAAATTCAGTAATTAAATCAGATGAAATAATTCTCAATTTAATTCAGAATGGCGCACAATCCTGCTGCTAAATGTAGATGTAACAAAACAATTCCTCAATGGCGAAAATGAATGGATCTTCTCTATTAAGTCTGGAGTGCATCTTATTGTACTTAATGTAGTGAACATGATGGAGATGGAGAGGAAAACAACTCCTGGATTGCGTTCAAACACCTCTGTTTACTTTTCCTCCCTGCTACTGATTACTTCTGGTACTGAGTGTGTGTGTTTGCATATGTGTGTGTGTGTGTGCGTGTCTGCAGTCCTATCAGATACAGCTCGTGCTCAGCGAGACCAAAGGCAGGTGGGTGGGGACAAGTGTAGATGGACAGATAGCCCAGTGCAAACGGCTGGCTGATAATTCGCTGATATGCCGTTTCATGTGCCACCGGTTAGATTTGTTTACCATCTTTCCTGTTTCCAACTGTCCCCTCCCCATCTCCTTACAAAGACCTCACTAGAATACTGTCCTCTTCGAGCGGTAATGGACTTCCTCTAGATGCGGACGAGTCTTTTAAAGTACAATTGCGGAACTACAGAAGGGAGGTGAAAGGGAAAAAATCCACTCTTTACAATTTTAAACACTTGCGTCAGAGGTTAATTGCCTCTAAATGTCAGTAATTAGTCTAATGAAGACCTGCGTTTGGTTCCATTCTGGTGTGCATGTGTGCCAGGATCTAGATGGGCATCTTTAACGCGGCAACAGGCCGAGTGAGTGAAGGGGTGAGATGACCCCTTTGTCCTTTTGTGCTATGATAAATGACCATCTCTTCCTCTGTGCGTTTTGTCAGTTTCGGCGCAGTTGAGTCGATACCTTCACCTTGACAAGGAAACTTTGTGATTTATCAGGGCCGCCGGCCAATCAACAGGCCGGGACCTCGGAGCCCTTGGAGAGCCCGAGAGCACGCTGTGGTCAAAGTCTCGGGGAGCCGAATGGGGCGACGTTGTCACCAGCGTGATAGACAAATGAGTCTCGTTAGAAGTGACAAAAAGCGAGGAGGGGTCTTGAGACGGAGTGAAAAAAGCGAGAAATAGAAAGCAAAAAAACGCTTGACTCGTACTAATAACAGAAAGAGTCCAGAGCGGTCACGGCGGGTTAAAAGACGGAGCACCCTGTCACGCCGCAGGTTTGGAAATTAGCAAATAATGCTCCCGAGTCCTGATAAATGTCTGACAGGGCTCCCTCGCAAATCATTTTTTTTACATTTTGATGCATGTCTACAATCCCTTCGGAGGAAAGGAAAAGTTTACTGGCCCTCGAATGTGCCGTGACAAATGAAGGCCGGTAAGTGTACGATTTCTGTATGAAGTATAGTTCATTTTCGCCAATTCTGGTAAATGGGTGTCGCTGATCAGGACAAATAGTCTGGAAGGGTGATAGCTCCTGCCGTACGTCTCTATTCCTCTCTCTCTTTCTCTCCCCAGCCTCCAGTGGAGCGTTAAGGTCGTGGTCACCAGTGACCATGCCTAAATAGAAAGCAATAGCTTTGATGCAATTAGAGTCCGACGTTGAGCTTTATTTATGACTGATGACATTGTTTGGAATCGTTTGTAAAAGCGCTCAGGAGGCCTGCATCCGTTAAAGTGTCTATTAGAGCCGGAGCGCTCACATACATATATATCTTAATTTATATCTCTAACTTTCCCCTTGTTAGGAGCCAAAGGAGATCATTGCTACCTCCAAATTTGGGTCATAGAGACAGACGGAAAGTATTTCCACGCACACTCTGGCATTCCAATTTTGTTGATAGTGATGTTCCAGCTTATTTTTAAGGTACTTTTGAGACCGAGTCTCCCAAAAAGGTTCAGTGACAGCAGCTTAAGGCATAATTCAAAATCAATTTGTATTTGTCTATTAAAAAATATGTAGATATAAAAAGTTGTATTTTTATTTTATTGTGTACTTAAAACATATGAAATATATACTATATTCATAATTAGATAGATATACATAAAAAGGTATATTCATATTATATTGTGTACTTAAAATCTATGAGATAGATATAATAATAGTTTAGATGTATTATTATTTTTATTAAATTACACATATAAAATATATATCCTATCCTTGCCCAAATTCCTGTTTCAATAGAAAATATATCAACAAGAAAAAACTGCACTCATCAAGCCATTTAATGGGAAATTGAAAGCAAACATCTGGATAGGGTTTTTAAAATAGTCAGATCAGCTAAAGAGAGCATTTGCGAGTTGAGAGCTATTGGCAGATATGGACCCTTCTGACAAGCTGTTCCATGCCAGACCTGATCAATGGATAACCAATACAGGTATCAGATGGTGCAGCGGTGGCCTTGTGTTAACAAAAGACACGATCGTACAAACGTACAAGGTTAAAGCTGAAAAAATAACAGAACACACGGATCTTTGAAGGATACAAAGGGATGCAGACTCAATAAACCACTGCAGTCTTTCCTTTTAAATGAAGACACTAACGGCCTGGAGCTGTAAATAGGCCTAACACACACACACACACACACACACAGACACAGACACATGCGGTAGATCTGAGTGTTAATGGACGGCTATATATTTCTTTTTATAAACTTCCTAAATATGCATTTTAAAAAAGCAATTTCAGGCACAGTACATGGTGAAATCACAGCATACATCACTCAACAGATGGTTGCTCTAAGCTAGTAATGATAAAGCCCATATCTGAATGTATATCGCCCCTGCAAAATGAGGCCACAGCACTGTATTTAACTGGCTGTGATGTATCAGATGTGAGCGAGGGTGTGTCTGACTCAGAAACAAGAGGGTGGTCAGCATGAAATGTTGTAACATCCAACAAAAACTCTGTACCTTTTTTTCTTAATGACTTTGTAAAATATCCAGCCTTTACACAATTTAGCAAATATACACACACAGACACAGACACATGCGGTAGATCTGAGTGTTAATGGACGGCTATTGAATAACACATTGTTTTAGGCCCAGTTCTGGCAGCTCATAAACTACCGAGACCCTCTGTTTGCGTAACCTTACGGGATGCCGACAACCCATCATAGGCCTTCTTTAATGTCCCCAGGTCTTGGTGGATCTCTGCGGCGTGTTTAATTTCACTGCTGTTTAGCTGTTTAAGTGTGAGAGGTGTTGGAGAGTACCGGAGGACATTAGGAGCCCAGAGTCTGAGCAGAGTAATTTGTTTAAAGAGCATTGACCTCTGAGACAAGCGGCTTGTGTTGGCTGTGATGGAGCAGAATTATCGACTCTTAAAGTAGCACAGCACTCTGACAGGCGATTGCCGCCACATCTGAGCGATCACGAAGGACCTTTTACAACACCTTCAGCACTGACACAATTGCAGGGCGATGAAGCTTTCTGGGGGAATCTCACAAAAAGCCATCATGCCATACTGTATGTGTGTATGTATATATATATATATATATATATATATATATATTATTATATATATTTCT